TCCTCCAAAACAGTAAAACGCTACAACTCAGGCAAGGAAATGGAGAACCCTTGCAAATGATTTGAGACATTTTTAAAACATCCTTGAAAACGCCAGTTGATAGCGTGTGACACTTGCTGATTTGTAGTGTTAAAATAAAATAAACAAGGTTACAGGCTTTTATCATCCTCAGAGTTGAGTTAACACACAAGCATTGTTTTTACATTACACACTTCCCAGTGAAAAAATAATTAAGGTCACACACACACACACACACACACACACACATTTTTCATTGGACCACCTTTAGATTTGATTACGACACACATTCGCTGTGGCATTGTTTTGAAGAGCTTCAGCAATGTCACCAGATGTATTTCCATCCAGTGTTGCATTAAGGTTCCACCAAGATCTTGCATTGATGATGGTAGAGTCTGACCACTGCACAAAGCCTTCTGCAGCACATCCCAAAGATTCTCAATGGGGTTGAGGTCTGGACTCTGTGGTGGCCAATCCATGGGTGAAAATGATGTCTCATGCTCCCTGAACCACTCTTTCATTATCTGAGACTGATGAATCCTGGCATCGTCATCTTGGAATATGCCCGTGCCATCAAGGAAGATGGAATAAACTGGTCATTCAGTATATTCAGGTAATCAGCTGACCTCATTCTTGTAGCACATCCTGTTGCTGAACCTAGACCTGACCACCTGCTGCAACCCCAGATCATAATACTGCCCCCACAGGCTTGTACAGTAGGCACTAGGCATGATGGGTGCATAACTTTATCAACCTCTCTTCTTACCCTGATGCACCATCACTCTGGAACAGGATCCATTTGGACTCATCAGACCAGTCCCTAAAAATCCCCCCTAAAAATAATCCCACTTCTGTTTATTAAACACACAGAACATTTGTCTCATTAAGAGTTAGTCATCGCCTGGTCCCATAATGAAGCTCTTTGACTCTTCTATTCTCGCTGTTTGATGCCATCACATTAATATTTTAACAGCCAGTGAAAGGATGTAAAGGTCTGACAACAAAATGACATCGAGCTGCTTCATATGACCATAAAGACCTAAACTTCTAAACAATCAGTGATGACTTTTCCCAGTTGTCCGCATTTAAAAAAAATACTGTTAAACCGCTAAAGCTCGAACGTTTAAACAGTTTGATTTAAGACAAATGTTTGCTGCTTCCAACAAAAATGTTTGAATATATATAGGATGTAATGTTTCCAAGCAACAGCATGTCTTGCTGATAAAAGCGATCTTATACCATGCTGATCTGCAGAGGAGCATAAAAAATGTATGATGGCTATTTTAATAGAAATGATTGCAAATTTAAACAGTAAAGCGCAAGACTGCACAAATGCTGCTTTTATTAAAGGAAACGAGATATTTTTTTTAAACTCCCACTAAGACAAAGTGAGAGATGCCCTTTGGGCTTCTTCTCTAAGAAGACATCAAGCAAAGCAGGGTTTTGTGTTTCTACTGCAGAGTTAGTCTTCCCAGGAGACATGTTTGATGTGGGAAAACTTAAAAGAAATCCTACGTATTACTAATTCTTTTTAATGCTCTCTTCCCCTTATCAAATCAGTAGCAAAAAAAAGCATCTTCAGGCAATGTTTTCTCTGCTCATGCTCAACGGTTGCTTTAAAAAATTCAATCGCGCTGCAGCACGGGTGTAGTCTGTGTCTACATCTACCTAATACTAATATTTTCATCAAATCTGAAGGCCTCTTGTATGAAGCTAATTTAAAATAGCAGAGAAGCAGCCTCTCATCCTGGATCTCATGCTCACACGCATTGATTTGTGTGCAGGAAAATCTTCAGAGAATAGCCTCAGGGAAGCTGTCTTATTCAAGGGTTTCGAACTAGCACGCCTCCCTCATACTTATGGATAACAAGCAAACCCCATGATCTATGCAGCGGCCTTCCTACATACACACCAATGTTTTCCTTCCTGTTCTACATGCCTACTAGTCATAAATGACAGCCTCCTCTTATGCCTCCCCTCCCCGATGAACTCACACTTTCAATAACTCTTTGAGACCGAGTATCTTGACACAAGGGGACTGATTAATTCATTGATACTTCAGTTTCACAGGCCCCTGCATGCCGCAGGCTCCATGTTAACGATGCAGCTGGCATATGTTTCAGTCTTTTCTGGCTTTTTGAACCTTATACCCAGCAGAAAACAGATGACACTGAGGAAAAATCTATAAAGTATTGATCTATGTCACAATTTCAACAAATTGGTCAATGAGGAGCTTCAGCTTCCTTTGACTCCTGTATGATATCTGGAGTGACTGACCGTGTCGACGTTCTGCATGATGTCCTGGAAGGATGGGTGCGTCCTGAACTGCTCAAACAGCTCCCGCTTGTAAAGCAGCGCGTAGACCAGGTTGGGATTGTGGTGCAGAGAGTTGCACAGACAAGAGTTGATGATCTCCAGCATCATGCGAATGACCTCCTCAATCACATTCAGGTCCTGGGCCTGGGGGGAAGGGAGGATGCAAAGGTTAAATGGCTTGCAACTACACAGGTTTCTTTTATTATCGTGTCTTGTTGGGTGGGAAGGTGGAAGAAATGGCGAGAGAAAAGACGAGTGAAGATTAAAGAGGAGGGATATTAGCTAAGAAGTACAGTTGGTCTTGGGTAAGAACAGAGAGGTGATCTTATAAGCAGCCGATCGGCTCACGCCACTGTGTTTTGGTCTCGAGGCAATGTTGCCAATGACGATGGTTACAGTGGGAACACAGGTAAGAAAAATACATGTGGTTAAGGGGCTGACATCAGAACATTATTTATGACAAGGCTCGTTAAAATCAGATGAGAACCTTTCAAGATAAGGCAATAAATAAATGACTACTGAGAAGTCATGGGACAGTGTCTTCGTTCGCATGTCATTTTACCAACAGATAATCCCTTGTGATCTGTGAGATTAGAAATGATCTCTTCTTGGATAAATTCGAACATCACACAGGTTTCGGATTTCATAACCTGGGTGTGACTGCTAACTCCACCTATGCTCGGTAATTAAATAGAGTATGAATGGAATATCCGTCATGAAACACACATAAGCAGCAAATCCTGAATATTGTTTGGAATGACGTCAGTATTTGGAACACCGGTGTGCTTGTTTATATCATTTATGTTAAAATCTGGAAACTTGTGAAACCAGGTTGTACGTTTTCACTTGTAACAAAGGAAGGGAAGTTAAAGGGATACTTTGCAACTTTTTCATATTTCTAAATCGTTTTCTTGAGCCAGTATGTTCTAAAACGACCCTTTACAGGGTTAATGAAATGTCACTCAGAGCCCCACTGCCCTCTGTGGCCAGGATACCACATTTGCAACTTCAGAGTGCTGGCCCGGTCTGTTGGACTTAGCTTATATACCTGGCGCAGCAGTCTGGTTCCAGCACGTTTCCTGCAAGTTTTAGATCATGAACACAACTGATTTGTTTATGTTAGTGAAGAATCACTCCTGTAGACACTAATAAAGGCTGGGGAGACACTTCAGCTTTCAGATTAAGGTGTTGAAAAGTCGAATGCACAGCGAGGAGATAAGTTTTGCTTTTGGTTTTAATAAACAGACACTAGGGGGTGCTAAAAGCAAGCAAGAACTGCCTAGTCTCCCTTTAAAGAACATAAATTAGACAAACAAGAAACATTGAACTTGACAATGATGATAAACTAATAAAATGCAGCAGAAGAATAATTCAAATAAAGAAATTATCTCAAAGTTTCTAGTTCAAGTCACGTCGTCCTTTTATTATTTGAGATTTTCTGACATCGACTTCAACGGAGCTTATCAAAATGAAGACTTACAACAACTAGAAAACACAACTAATAATGTCAGTTACTAAAGTTATGTGAGTTGATAATCTAAGAGTTTTAAACCAAATCAAGCACACTTCTAATCATTTTAGCACCCAGTAGTGGCCCTTACAAAGCATTTGCATTTAAACACTTTTCCACTCAGTATGATGAGTGACATCATGTGAAAATACAGCAAACAGGCAGGTTTGATTACCTATGGGAAACTTGGCTTTAATCTTTGTGCTTCAGCACATTTGACAAGCTGCTCTAAAAGTAGAAGCCACGGTTTGAAATAAAGATTGTATCTCGCCCTTTAGTTACTGTATTCATAACAAAGTGTCTACAGACCAGACAGACGCCACCAGGACAAGATAAGGTCCTGTCTGGCGTGTCTCATGGTGGCACAAACAGAAAAAAGAAAAGGCAGGGACCATGGGAAAATGAATAATGATTTGGGAGATTGAAAAAACAAAACGGATCAGTTTACAGTTGAAGAGGTGATGACTTGATTTCCAGCAGTGTTGCACATTTGGGCTAAAAATAAAAACATATTTTCCAAGACAAAAAAACTAGAAGAGGCAGTTGACAAACATTAAAAGAGACTGAACAAAATGTACCACTTGCTGCTTAGAGGCTGAACATACTGGACTGGCCTAAATCCCCAAACAGCACCCAATGTCTTGGACTGTTGGCCGCTCAACAGCTAAGAAGAAGCTGAGACAACAAACACAGACGACGAGATCACAGGAGTCAAGAACAGTCAAAGCAGCTTAGCCTAATGCAGTGGAGTATTCATGAAATCAGTCTAATGGCCGACCAAACACCACTCACATTATGCAAACGGTTTCAGCGCTGGTCCTGGATTTGTACAGCAAAAAAGGAGTTGATTTTACTGCTGTGAATGACTAAGTGGTTAGAAGATTAAAAAGACTGCAGATGTAACCTAGATTAAGAATCAAGTGTCTCAGTTAGCTGTGACATTGAGCTAACGTAAAACCGAGGCAGCCAACAGCGTATTAATTATTCACACCTGAGATTTTCCAAATGCGGCATGTGAAAATGTCATCCAACCTCATAAAGCCCATGGAAATACCAAGTTATTCTTGTACTGTGCATCAACGGCTTCAAAATAAGGAGATTACAACCTCAGATCTTATTGCAACAAGAACTCCGAAATGAAGAAAGAAATATGTTCAAATGATGCAGCACTAAGCAATGTTGGTACATAATGTGGTCACCTAGTGTGTCTGGATACTTTAACCATCACACTTCATTTACAGGAAGCTAAATCCCAAACATCAACAACGAGCCGATATCCCAACGGACGAGGCGGAGCAAAACTCCAACAAACCAGTCAAACTGTCAGTTGGAATCATAATCAGGCCTCGTTAGGCATATAATGTCAAAACTGCAACAGTCATGCAAAAGTTTGTGTTTCAATTTAGACACAAAGAGTCTTAATTTGGTGAAATTTTCTCTCTAACCCCTTTCAGAAGCAGCCTCAAATTTCTCTTGCGGACATTGAGAAGGTTCCAGATGCCCACAACAACTCTAACTATTTTTAGAGAAAATGTGTTGCTCTGAATTTTTTAAACCTTTCACAACTTCCAAGAGAAGTGCAAAGCCCTGCAACTCAAAGAAATTGAGAAAGCTCACAAATATTTCTAAACATTCTGGACACTGTTGCAAATGTGGTTCACAATTTGTCACAAACAGTGGCGTCCGAGCGAGAAGCAAGACTTTACTGCTTTTAACACGTTAAACTGTACTACTTTGGGGGGAACAGGGCTTTAACAACGGTGGCACAGGAGTTAAGTGCTCGCCCCGTAATCGGAAGGTTGCAGGTTCAAGCCCCGCTCAGTCTGTCGCTGTCGTTGTGTCCTTGGGCAAGACACTTAACCCACGTTGCCTGCTGGTGGTGGTCGGAGGGACCGGTGGCGCCAGTGCTCGGCAGCCTCGCCTCTGTCAGTGCGCCCCAGGGCAGCTGTGGCTACATCGTAGCTCATCCCCACCAGTGTGTGAATGTGTGTGTGAATGGGTGAATAACGGATTGTGTTGTAAAGCACCTTGGGGGGTTCCAGGACTCTAGAAGGCGCTATATTAAATACAGGCCATTTATCATTTACCATTTAATGTCATTATCCAAACATAGTTTTCAATTAACTTTGTATAAGATTTTCAAATTATGCTTAAAGATTCAGGTTCCTGACACATATTGTTGTGATACTGGACTAAAACTTTCACAGCATCACGTTCAGAACAGGAGTCTTGTGGGACTGCGACTATGAGCTGATGGGAGTCCAGAGATTCCACCTCCAATCTGGGCTATCCATCTGCAGAGGAGAAGCATGTGGTTGCATTTTATTTTCCATCTTCCGTGAACTGTTTGGAAACTAGTCCTTATCTTATAAATAACTCTGCTTGCAATGTTGCTTTTCCTCTCCATCTCACACACACACGCACACACGCACACACACACACACACACACACACACACACACACACACACACACACACACACACACACACACACACACACACACACACACACACACACACACACACACACACACACACCTCCTCAAGATTGGCAAGAGGACAAGAATAATTGTAAATAAACGAATCGTTTTGTGTGCAGACAATAAATCACGCTCTCAAAAACATATGAAACAGTTTCTTTCATGGATTTCAACCAAATCGCGGAGGTTTTAGATGCAGACATGAAGAGGCAGGGGTGGGGAGGGGGGTAGCCAGTAATTATGAGGGCTGATTGTATGTCTGGAGGGAGAGGTGGCTCTTCCTCCTCAACTCCACTGCCTAGCTAGGCCTGCTTTCTTCTGTTCTGCAGTGGCAGGCCATAATTAGACAGAAAGAAGGGACACATATGGGAGACAACTGAGTAGGAGGAAGAGGAGGCAGAAGAAATGAAGACGGCGACAGAAATGGGAACATACAAGATGAGAGGAGGGGGGGATGGAGTTGATGGAGACAGTGAATATGGTGAGAAGGAGACAGAAGCAGGAGTGAGGGATGCCTAGTGTGTCTGTTCTCTAGCTCAGCACCCAGCCTAATGAGATTAGTCTGGCAGCGGGAAAAAAACCCACATCGGGGAATTCAGGTCACAGGAAAATAGGCTAGCTAGACGTCTGCCTAGCCCTGCGTGTATGTTTGTCAAGAGGATGAGATTAAGAGGTCCATGGTCTACTTGAAACCCAGACAGGATTTAAATATGTTGGCTGCTGCTCCTTCTCCTTTTCTGCTTCACAAACAATTTTTCTCTACACTCGTTTTCTCCTCAAACCTCCAGAAACCACCTGACGCCTCTGACTGACTGAAGGACACCACTATGGCCGCTTCTGTTTGTCTCTCATTTCTTTTCTCCCTACGGCGCTTACGTGAAATTTTCTAACCTGGCAACATCACAGTTTAATAACAACCACTCACACTACTATTCATGTAGCCTTTTCTCCACCCCAAAGCATACGTAGCTCTCAAAAATCAGCCCATATCGTTACTTTCAATGATCCCGTCCAGCTCCACTTGACACACACACACAAAAACAAACATACACACATACACGTAACCAGAAGGCTGTGAGCGTGTGGAGCTTTTGCAACTGTGTGATCCGGCAGCTAATTCTCCAACAAGCTGGGCTCAAAATGTGTCGTCTGCA